GGCTATCTTACAGGTTTATTCTCTTGCCCTGGCCACAACTCTTTATCCAGTCAGCAGACCTGTCTTTTTGGTTACTTGCTACTCTGTGTTTCAACCACAGATATCCTTGAACTCTATTTCTTGATAAGATGGTTTGCTATTCTTTGATTCAACCTGAAGGCAATTAGGTCCTCCTTCTCTGCCAGCAAGGGGTTATCTTCATAATAATCAGCTTTTCTTCAGAGCTATCTCCATTGTCTTGACCCTCTTATTGTCTCTACATCTCTTTGTTTAAACCAGTCTGTTAATTCGGGTTCAGTTTGAAATTAAAAAATTTCTACACTTCCTCATGAAAAGTATTTTGTTACCGAAACCGGTTTGGCTCAGTGGATAGAGCGTCGGCCTGCGGACTGAAAGATCCCAGGTTCGATTCCGGTCAAGGGCATGTGCCTTGGTTGTGGGCTCATCCCCAGTAGGGGATGTGCAAGAGGCAGCTGATCGATGACTCTCTCTCATCGATGTTTCTAACACTCTATCTCTCTCCCTTCCTCTCTGTAAAAAATCAATAAAATATATAAAAAATTTTAAAGAAGTATTTTGTTTCCAGAGATGGCAAAGTTTAACTATAATGTCTTCATGTGTAGGACAGATATGTGGCATGGTCTTCCCTCATACAATTATACCCAAGTCATAATATAGATTCGCTTGATATAAGCAATGGAATCTCTTCCCAGAAAAGTGTCCGTGTGTGTGTGTATGTGTGTGTGAAATATTTTGTATATAGTTCAAGGAGTTCATGAACCCCCTAACACCTATCTGTATGCTATATCAATCACCATTCTTAGTTTTAAGCAGCTGAACATTGACTGACTGACTCAAACAGAATAAGAATTTATTGGAATCATATTACTCCTAGAACAGCTGGGAAAGCTATAGCAATAGCTTAGGGAAAAGAATAGGCACCACAGTTGCACAGTTGGCCTCTGTAATTCTAAATTTTTAAGGCAGAAGAACCTCTCTTTATGTCACTTATTATATTTTACTTTGATGCATTTTTAAAATTATATGTATTAGGATGAAAGCATTCACATATGGCATATACACTTGTATGCACATTGCCCTATATCATTTGGTCATTTAACTTTAGAGAGTATATTATTAGAGATTAAGTTAAAATACTATAACAAAAAGATTCAGAAATACGGCAGCTCAAAGGAGACAGAAGTTTATTTCTTACCACCTAACACATGGCAAGTGGCCCAGGGTAGCTGGGTAGCTCTGCTTCACAAGTTCATTCAGAGACTCGGATTCCTTCTATGTTGTGTCTTCATCCTGTAAAGTGTTTTTCCTTTATGGTCAAAGTTTACTCAGTTCCCCCCCTGCATTCTAGTCTGTGGGAAAGGCCAAAGACTAAGAAGGAGAACATTAGTCAAATAGCACAAGTTGGGTATATCAGTTCTGCTCACATTCCATTGTTGAAAACCCAGCCCCATGACCACAGCTAGTTGTAAGAAGCTCAGAAATGTATTCTCTACCTGAGTGTGTAGCTGTGTCCAGCTAACACTCATTACTGTTGTACAAGTGAAGAATTTTTTGGGGGTCAAAATCAGCAGAGTACAAGAGGTGAAGACAGCTGAATAGAACTCTTCCAAGTTCTTTGGATTTAATTTTTTTTTTTTTTTACTATATTGCATCATTTTTATCATAGAGACATTGAAAAATAGAGTAGGCAAAAATGAAAAAATGCAAACAACTAATTTCCCTGCCACCCCAAAATAATCATTAATAATTTGGGGAAGTGTACTGCCAGTATATTTTCTAAACATACACAATAAAAAGTGTGTTTTTAGAATTAAAATCTGAATCTTATTGTTACACACTATTTTGCAACCTGCTTTTTTTGCCCTAATATAAATATTGATTAAGACTCTGGTTGAAAAAGACAGAAGTCCAACTCAACTGACTTAAGCAAAAGCTAGAAACTTTTGCCTCATATATGTAAATTGAAAGGCCAAAAACAGAGCCCAGCTTTAGACATGGCTCCAGATACTCAAATAATTCAGAAATCTATTTTTCTCTCTTTCTAGATTCTGTTTTCCTTTGTGATGGCATTTTCTCATGTGGCAGCAAATAAGCCACTAGTAGCTTCAAGTTTTCTTTTTATCAGCTTAGCAAACTGAATGGGAAGAGAGTGACTTTTTAAAGAACATCAACAAACATCTTGAACTTAATTCTGATTGGCCTTGTTTGGATCATGTGGCCACCCAAACCAATCATCAACAAATTCATTTTCTAGTCATTTCTGAGAATGTAATATAAAGTATAAGAAATGTAATACAAAATATAGAAACCCTAGGAAAGAAGTGCTTGATTTATTTACTTCACTTTATCTTGTTCTAGAAAGGATTTATAGCTTGTTAAAATTAGTTTTTCTAATTTTCTCTCATCCTTAGATTATTAATACTCATAATAATTGGTCAGTATTTTGACAGAATAAAACTAAAATTTTGTGCTTTTGAAAAATGTTTTAAATCTTCAAATTATTACTCATCAAAGCCACCATTCTTTGTTTTTGCTTACGTTTTCTGTTAGATTCTAATTCTCACTTATTTGTGTAAGCAACATATACATTATTCAATATATTTTTATGTTAATGATCTTAAATGTAAAGTTGAGTATATAATACTGAATATTGCAGGTCATCACACCAGTTATATTTATCGTATACAATACATCCTTTCTAGAAAATTTATATTTTGCCTTCATTATCTTTATTGATAGTTATCTCTGAGAACATTTTTTTAGGGCTCATATTTGTTTGGCACTGAAAGTGCACTGGGCCGGGAGGATTTGGTAGAAATATGTATTAGTCAGGCACTGCTAGCTTATAGCTCAATCCAATGTGAGAGTTCCATGAGTTCAGTCTATGGGAGTGTTCTTATTTGAGTGTATTTTACCTCTTCCTTCATCTGAGTCCTCAGTCCTGTCTATTCAACTCAGGGGCCCGGGCGGGGGGGGGGGGGGGGGGGAGAAAAAGGGAAGGGAGGAGAGGGGAGCAGAGGGAGGGAAGGAGGGAGAAAAAGGCATACTTGCTCTTAGCCATGTTAGCCTGGTGTTGACATAGTTCATTACATCATAAGTCTATACCTATCTGCAAGAAAGGCTGGAAAATGGAGTCTAGCTATAGTATTACCAGGAGGAAAAATAAAAAAGCTGTTTTGTTGAACACATAGCAATCTATAGGACAGCCCTGTTTCTTCCTTGAACAAATTCTATGACTTCTGGCAAGGTACTTAATCTCCTTGCTTCAGTTCCCTTTACTTTAAAATATACAGTGATTCTTTAATAAGGTTATTAGATATTTATATTAAGAAATTCTCTTAAGATTTAGTGAGGCTTGATTCAACAAAGCATTTGTGAGAATCATAAAATCCTTAAAAATGAACCTGCTGAGAAATGAGAACTTAGTTATAGCACAGTTGGTAGTTTTATAGTTAATTGCGTAGCCAATAGATGTTAATTACTTAATTCAAGAGATTATGGAAAAGAGATCTTGGAGGACAGGGAGAAGGTAATGAATTTATTATTTCACTAGTGGCCTGATGCAGATTCATGCACATTAAAGGAAGTTAATTAGAAGAAATATTTTAATGTTGCTATTCGCCCTTTCTCTGTAACAGAAGTGTCAACCAAATTCACAGTTGGTAATGACAGGTCGAAACACACATGTGCGATTGGCACCAGGGAGAGCTTTATATGTATTGCCCATGCGTGAGTCAACGTTTATTTTTCAATTTTTCAAAGTGTGTGTCATATGTACCGGCCAATAGGTCAGTCAGATGGACAGATGATCGGTCACTTAGCCTTTTATATATAGATAGATTCTTTTTTTTTTTTTTTTAAATTAGGGTGGTTAGGTGTTTCTTTTCTTTAATATATTTTATTGATTTTTTACAGAGAGGAAGAGAGAGGGATAGAGAGTTAGAAACATCGATGAGAGAGGTTCATCGGTCAGCTGCCTCTTGCACATCTCCTACTGGATGTGCCCACAACCAAGGTACATGCCCTTGACCGGAATTGAACCTGGGACCTTTCAGTCTGCAGGCTGATGCTCTATCCAGTGAGCCAAACCGGTTTCGGCTATATTTATAGAGAGTCTTAATCCTAATCATTTTAATTTTTGCCATTAAGAAATCATATGAAAACAGAACTCATACTCTTCAAATTATAATTTGGAGATTTCAAATAATTTTTCAGTTTGGCCATCAAAGTCCTTTAACCTGAAATATAAGTTATAATTTATCTGGACTTTTGAAGACTGAGCAGAAAATCAAATAAATTATTTATAGCATAGTTTTTTATGATAATATTTTCATATTTTAAACATCTTATAAATGAGCTATTGAACATAACTCATTTTTAAAGTAAAGAATGACTTGAATTTATATTTGCCTTCCTTCAAAAAATGATCTCTTATACTTAAATATGTTACGAGGAATATCTATTAATATGAAATCACTTGGTTTTTTTCAACAGAGATGTGTTGACTAGAGAAGAGACCTCAAAAGCAGGCAATACAAAGAATATGTATAGCTGTTCACTGACAGATGTCACATTCACTCACAATGCTTACAAGACATACATATGATTTTGAAAGACGCCAATGAATGATTATATATTAACTATAGGCCAAGTGCATGAAATTTGTGCACGGTAGGGTCCCTAACAGCTGCCGGCTACTGGCCAGGGTCTCCCTTCCCTGGCTGCCCGCTGCTGGCTGGGGCCTTCCTTCATTCCATGCCACCCCCTGGTGGTCAGTGCACGTCATAGCGAGTGATTGAACTGGTTGGTTGAACTCCCAAGAGGACACTTTGCATATTAGGTTTATGTAAACCTAATATGCAAAGTGTCAGTAGCATCAATTCTTTCTAATACATTTAAAGGTTTTAAAGTGACTCGCTAGACTACACCTTTTTAATGTAATAGCGATATTTCAAAATGTGTGTTCTCTTTCTTTTCAGGACTTCCAATAGTAGTCAGACATTATCATCCTGCCATACTATGGAGCCATGTTCATCAGATGAATTTTTCCAAGCCCTTAATCATGCTGAGCAAACATTTAAAAAGATGGAAAACTATTTGAGACATAAACAGTTATGTGATGTAATTCTAGTTGCTGGTGATCGCAGAATTCCAGCTCATAGGTAACTATTTTTTAAATTTGTGTGTGAACATTTCCTTGATAATTTAGTTATGTATGTTTATTGCAGGAGAAATCAGTGGGTTCAGTTCCCCTGACTCTAGTGGGGTTCTTGAGGTACCACTGGAATAAGCATTTCCAGAGGCTCCCACAGGAGAATGAATGTTTTTTATTGGCATGGAATTATATTTATTGGGTTGCAAAGTTCTCTGCCCCTTCACCCAGTCCTGAAAAAGGTACAGCTGGGGCTCCTGCAGAGCCCAAAGCAGGACCAGTGCCAGATTATCCATTCCATGGTGGAGCTGGGTCAGGTAACATCAGGTAAGTTAAAGTCTATTTTGGAGTCCACATGGCTGTGGGCCACGTTGTCGAATGCAGAGGAGCCGGGCGTCCTGCAGCAGGAGTCACAGTAGAGCAACAAGAGAGAGAGGCAAGAGGGAGGTTCCTTTGTCCAGGAGTTTAAATATTCAGGTTTCACACCTTTGCAGTGGCCTCGCCTATTCTAGCCACTAACTTGTTCCCAGGTGTGACTGACAGGTAAACATCTTCCATGGCACCCAGACCTTACTGGGCATGAATCTATTGTCCAGTCCCTTCCCCCAGCAATCTGTGGAGAACAGACTTGGAGAATGTTAATTGCAGCTTCCTGACAAGGCTGTATAAATGGCATGCCTATATTATTTAGTCTTCCCTTTATTCCTTTCCTATTATGTAATAACCAAATTATTATAATAGTATCCTGTGTGATAACTAATTTCAGTTGGCTGTTAGGATAGAATGTTTTGGGGAAGGGATATATTTCATGGAATTTCTGCAAAGAAAACAGTGCATATGAAATTACTAGAGGCCCAGTGCATGAAATTCATGCAAGGGTAGTGTCCCTGGGCCTGACCAGTGATCAGGGCAGATTGGGGCCTTGCAGCTGCCGACGGGCCTTCCTTCGTTCCATGTCACTCACTGTGGTCAGCACACGTCATAGCCAGTGATTGAACTTCTGGTCTCCCAGTTGAACTCCCAAAGGGACACTTAGCATATTAGCCTTTTTTATATATAGATTATACATCAAATGACCCCAAAGGTCACTTTCCCTCTGTAGAAGCACAAAAGCAAAACACAATAGCCTCAGATCAGTCAGTATTGTTTGGCGTAGATTTCAGTTATTATAAACAGCTTTCATCCTACCTAATTCTATGTATTAAATAACTTTAAGTAAACTCAATGGGAATTAGAGCTGTGGGTATTTAGAAGCAAAAAAGTTGGTCGAATGGAATGGCAAAAACTGTTAAGAACTTTTAAATAACTGCAATTATTCCAACTTTTGTTTGCTGATCTCCAAGAAATATGAAAATCATTGGTGCTAGTGAACAAAAGGTTTTAACAGAACTGAAGTATTATTTCTCGACATAAGAAAAAGAAAAAAGAGCTGTTGAGTAAAAAAACAAATCACTTTTCTTTTGATAATTTCATATCCCGTTATTCAGTGTTAATCACTATTATGATCCCAAAGGCTTTTCTATGCCTTTCTAAATTAATTAACACTCTGTCCCAAAAGTTTTGTTAAACCCTCCAAAGTGGAAGTAAAATCAGGAAGAATGGCCTTGGTCTTATAGTTTTCAATGACTTAATTAGCATGACAAAAATCCATGTTATAAGCATCAGTTTATTAGAAAACATATTTTAATTTGAATTTCATAAAGGCATCTCAAATTCTGTATTTCCAAAGCAGAACTCATTACCTTACCTGTCACACATATTATGTAAGCCATCACCATGTCACTAAGTTACCAAGGCAGGAAACTCCTAACTAGTCTCCTTCCTTTGATTTCTTTCCCCTACATTCTGTTTTCTACACAGAGTGATCCTTAAAAATAGATCAGATTCCATCATTCCTCTGATCACACTTTTCAGTGGCTCCTCATGTCGCTGAGTGTGCTCACAGTGGCTGTGTGATCCAGTCTGGCATTACTTCTGTGATGTTCAGTCCCAGTGCTCTCCTTGCTCACTCTGAGCAACACTGACCTTACTGTTCTTTGTATGTGCCATGCATGCTGCTCTGGCTTTTGGATTTTTTCATTGGCTGCCCTTCTGCCTGAATGCTATTCCCAGATCCCTGAATGACTAATTCCTGCATCTCCTTCTATTATTTGCCCAATTATCTCTTTCCAATGAGACCATCTATTTTAACCCACCTCCCACTCTCTGTATCCCTTTACCTGACTTCTTTCCCCAGAGCACTTAGCATTTTTAAATGGACTATAGTTTATTTCTGCTGTTTATCAGTTTGTCTCCCTTCTTTCTAGAATGTAAGACTCAGTGGGAGAAGGCCTCTCTACTCTATTTTTTTTGCACTGATAATATTTCAAGTATCTAGAACATTGCCCATTACTTACTAGGCATGCATACTAGTAAGCATTTGTTTGGGGGATAAATTAATGAAAATTAAAGAAAATAAATTTTTCTTCAAAAGCAGAAAACTGAATAGCCAATAAACAGTTGGAAAGATCTTCAACATCCCTAGCAATCAGATGAATTAAACAGTAATGAGATGCCATTTAATACCTTACAGATGGCCAAAATTTTAAAAATCTAACAGTATTCTGGGACCTTATTAAACTAAAGTCTAAATTGGCACAGCACTTTCTAGAGCAATTTGGCAAACATTAGGACTCGGCAACCACTCTTGGGGAGGGAGAATAATGGAATTAGAGAGAAACACAGAGGGAGTTTCAACTATTACTATATCATAATTTGTGTGTTTTTTTAAAATATGAATAAAGTAAATCTATATAAATGTACTGACATGGAAATATCTTCAAAACATATTATCAAATGAAAATTCATGTTTAAAATCCTATATAATCCTATGTAATAAAAGCATAATATTCAAAGTGTCGACTGCTCAATCAGTCGTTATAATGTGCACTGACTACCAGGGGGTAGACGTTCTGACCAGTAGGTTAGCTTGCTGCTGGGGTTCGGCTGATAGAGACTGGATGAGAGGGCCAGACACCCTGGAGCCCTCCCGTGGCCCTTCCCCAGCCGGCCCGCATCAGCCCCAATCAGGATTCAGCAAGACAGCCCCAGTCGCCAGCCAGGCGAGGAATCCACCCATGCACAAATTCATGCACCAGGCCTCTAGTGTGTGTGTGTGTGTGTGTGTGTGTGTGTGTGTGTGTAATATTTTGCTTATATGTGACTATCAAAAAGTTTGGACGGAGACATAGCTAATATAGAATAATTGTTATTATGACAAAATATTATAGTTTGTAGTGTTGTAACAAAAATATAACTTTATAACAATATCATAATAATTAAAATATCATAGAAGTTAAATATAATTAATGCTAAAACCATTCGCAAATGTCTCCCATATATTCACTACTTGTATGATTAAATAAAAAAAAAAGGTGATAAGCAGAAATCAACCTTTATATTTCTTCCCTTTTTTATATATATAGTCAATTTAATGCTGCGGCCTTATAGCCTTTTTTTTCTAGATGTTATAAATCAATATTTAAGAAGTGAAAGAGTAAGTCATTACCTCAGCAGAAAATTTTTAGTAATGATAATTTATTATTCAAAGGAAGGAACTAGAGCATAAAGCAATTTGTCAAACTTAAAGTGCATTTCCCAATACCATGCAATTTCTATGGTTAACAAAGTTAGAGAGAGGGGAAAAAAAGTAGTATTCATTCATTTATTTATTTTCATCCCACTTAGAGTTTATTTTATGTGATTCTCAGCATACAGTGTACTTCCTTGGAGGAAATTTTTTGGCTTAGTTCACAACATAAATTATTTTACAAATATTGAACTGTGTAAAAGTAGCACTTATTAATGAGCACTAACTTTAATGTGGTCATTGATTTTTTTTTCTTCTAATATGTTCTCAGATTGGTGCTCTCCTCTGTCTCAGATTATTTTGCTGCCATGTTTACTAACGATGTCAGGGAAGCAAGACAAGAAGAAATAAAAATGGAAGGTGTGGAACCGAATTCACTATGGTCCCTGATTCAGTATGCTTATACAGGTAATATAAACTTAAAACCTCTTAGATTTATGTTATCTTATTAGATTTCAGATTTCTGCTTTTAGCCGCAGCTAACAGTTAATTCTGCTATTACAATCGCCACCCTTGGTGATACCTGTTTAAGTTAAAACCTGTATATCAGAATCTTTAACGCAGTAATCATAATTAAGCTTTTGAATGATATTTTTAGATGTTAATATAATAATTAGATCAATTCTGTGTGTTTAGAATATTGCATTTAAAATTTGAGTTCTGTATAATAGATATGTTACTAATTAAATCATCCTGTTAAAAGTCTTACAAATGAGTTACTAGTTGTTTATTTTAGCAGAAGTTACAAAAGGTAAAAGTTATTTTATAGTTAGCATTCTATTAATTTATTCCTGAATGTCTTAAATCATCTAGGTCTAAAATACATGTAATGAGCTCTTATCTAGAATTATTATTCTTAACGCCAATTAGTTTATAAACTAAAGTTAATATAATTCCATAGTTAATGGTATTTCTCTTTATCATTAAGGCCGCCTTGAATTAAAAGAAGATAATATTGAGTGCCTGTTATCTACAGCTTGCCTTCTTCAGCTTTCACAGGTTGTGGAAGCATGCTGTAAGTTTTTAATGAAACAGCTTCACCCATCCAACTGTCTTGGAATCCGTTCTTTTGCTGATGCCCAAGGTTGTACAGATTTGCATAAAGTGGCTCACAATTATACTATGGTATGTGTTTTTTTGAAAAGCAGGAAAGCATATGCTCTTTGTCTTGTTCTTTATTATTGCAGGCTTATCTACATGTTGCTGTTTTCCCATGGCTCTGCCACATGTTTTCAGGCTCAGGTTCACTGTCTAATCTATACTAATAAAAGGTTAATATGCAAATTAGACCAGACATCCTTCCAGACGTTCTTCCGGACAAAGCCACGGTGGCAGGAACCAAGGCAGAGGTGGATAGGGGTGACCAGGCCAGCAGGGGAGGGCAATTAGGGGTGACCTGGCAGGCAGAGTGGTTAGGGGCTATCAGGCAAGCAGGCAGGTGAGCGGTTAGGAGCCAGTTGTCGTGGATTGTGAGAGAGATGTCCTAAACTGGCCTTTGGACATCCCCAAGGGTCCTGAATGGACAGGGTGCAGGCCAGGCTGTGGATGCCCCCGTGCACGAATTTCGTGCACTGGGCCTCTAGTCTGTTATATTTTCATTGAGTTATAAGCAAAAACACCAAGTAATATTTCTCCTGAATACATGAGTCAAGCCTTAGTTTTCACAGTCACTAAGAAGCAGAACAGTGGCCTAGGACTGTTCCATACAGGATTTTCACATCTGTTGTATTTAGAGCAGGATTTCCAGCAAACATTTTATTTGCATGAATTTCACAGTTGTCCACATATTCACTAATGAAATTTTTAATGCCTACTTAATAGTCCATTGAATTACAACCCCTATAGCTGGGCATCTAGGCTATTTGCTGAGTTTTACTTTTATAAATAACTAGAGGCCAGGTGCATGCAATTCATGCATTCAGAGGGATCCCTCAGCCCGGCCTGTACCCTCTCACAGTCCAGGAGCCCTTGAGGGATGTCCAGGGCTCATCTAATGGAAGTTGGTGATAGTGATCATAGTGCATTGGTGCAATCCTAGTACAGAATATAGGAGCCTAAAGAGGAGAGTTTTCTTTTGGTTTTTTTTTTTGTTTTGTTTTTTATCATGGATAAACCTCATTATAAGTAAGAAGTGTTCTTAGTTATGTAGAAATATGTTATTAATTGTATCAAATTATATGCTCAAAATAAATCACAGAGGGTGCTCTGATTCAGAAGCCTAGAGGATAATGAGTACAGCTTGATTTAGGACAGCGAGAAAATAAGGGCATGTTGAGGGCATATTGTTGTTAGGACCAACAACTGCTTGGTCTTCATTGTAGAGGGATTTAGAAAAGGGAGAATTGTGGATTTTTAAGTAATGACCATCTGTCCACACTTGGGTCTTTACTCTTGTGCAGTGATTGGAGACTCTTGCTTTAAATGTTTCATTTAAGGCAATACGGCTTCTAAGGGAAGAGAAAATGTGAGCATTTACATACAGAAATACAGTTATTCATATTACTAATTTTGTTAACCTTTAACTATTTCCTCTACACTCTCCCCCACCCCTATCCTTCTGTTGAGTTGTTTTGTCAAGGAATTGACAAGTACTTTAAGAATCTTTCACTGGATGCCAAAACCGGTTTGGCTCAATGGATAGAGCATCGGCTTGGGGACTGAAAGGTCCCCGGTTCGATTCCGGTCAAGGGCATGTACCTTGGTTGCGGGCATATCCCTGGTAGGGGATGTGCAAGAGGCAGCTGATCGATGACTCTCTCATCGATATTTCTAGCTCTCTGTCTCTCTCCCTTCCTCTCTGTACATAATCAATAAAAATATATTTTAAAAAAAAAAAAAGAATCTTTCACTGGAAAAATAGAGATCTGGAAAAATTATAAGACCAAATATTTACAACTATCGGGAAGATTAATTCTACCAACCTCATAAGCTTAATGTGAGGATTAAATGAGTTACTAGAAGTTTAGCACTTAAAACAGTGATTGACACATAGTATACCCAGTCAATAAATGACATCATCATAATTGTCACCACATTATATAAATTTTACTCTCTTCAACACAGTAGGGATTTATGTGAGTGGACTAAAAGCCCTTATACAAAAGCACAACCTTTGTTATTTGTTTTTATCCCTGTGGTATAATTACTTTTCAGAAATGTTCTTGTTCAAAATGGTCAAAGTGCTTCAAGTGAAAAAAAATAAGAAATTGTGCAACAGGGCAATACTGTACAGACCTAGCATGGTGTTAGGTTAACGTCTTAAAATAAGTCTTTTCATAAGACTTTTCCCCCTCCATCTTTATTCTTCCTTGTAGAGTTGTCATTTTAACCGTGTACAGTTATCATTTCAAGGTCAAATACTTTTTGGAATAACATTAATATAAATAAAATAAAGCTGGATTTTTTTAACCTTTATAATCAATTCATAATTTAAGTAAGATGTCTTTCCTAGGAAGGAATTTTATTCACATAAAATATTTAGGTCACTCCTGTTGTTTATAGTAGAGGCACGATTGCTGCTGTTTTAAGACTTAGACATAAATTAAATTCAAATTAGCTCCATGTTCTTAAAGCTCTTCTCATAGCCAAGAAGTTGGGGTAGGGATTTTTTTTTTCCTTTCAAACCATTATTTGATATTATTCAGTTGCAACAGAGACGTGAAATTGAATTCTAATAACAATAAGTAATTTAGAGGCAGATTGTGTGATTTGAATTGTTGCTATGGGAACTGAATGAAAGTGTATAACAAAATTGAATCTTCAATTTAAATAAATCTCTCAGTAATTTCATTTACTTAAAAACTATCCCAAAGGGGAAAGGAACATAATGCTAGCAAGTGTTTGATGGATTCAAAATATGAAGGAAGTGTAATGCCACACTGCGAATTCAGTTGGCACAGTCAGTAAATGGTGCATGTACTTTGGATGTTCCCTGATTCTGAATGAATATAAGTAGAAAAGGATGAGGTGTTCCTTCCTGTAATCCTAAAATCTGGAAACTTTTGCTCTTGTTCTGACTGCCACTGCACTTGAACTGGAACAAGTCATTAAACCTCTACAAAAAAAGTACAAGACTGGTTATGTCATTACAAATTTTAATGTCATTATGGATTTATAAAATAAATATAAACATTTCATTTTAAAACTTTAAATTTTGTTTTGTGGTCTGGAAAACCTATAAAACCATGGAATTCTGCTAAAATACCTGCTTCAAAACCAAATACTTTTGGAAAATACTTTATTTAGTTGTATTTCTGTACGTTTTTAAAAATTAAATTTTCACTAAGTACAAGTTATACTAAAATGGAATGGGCATGTTCTGAAATATATTAACAAATAATCAAAAGATTATTTAGCTCTAGTTGGTTTGGCTCAGTGGGTAGAGAGCTGACCAGTCCTAACTGAAGGGTCCTGGGTCAATTCCAGTCAAGGGCACACGCATAGGTTGTGAGCTCGATAGCCAGGATGGGGTGTTCAGGAGGCAGCCACGATTGATGATGTTTCTCTCTCATCGATGTTTCTGTCTCTCCCTCTCCCTTCTTCTCTGAAATCAATAAAAAATATTAAAAAAAAAAAAAAAAAGAATATTTAGCCCAGTCAGTGTGCCTCTATGGTTGAGCATCGACTTATGAACCAGAAGGTCATGGTTTAGTTCCTGGTCAGAGCACATGCCTGAGTTGCAAGCTCGATCCCCACTGTGGGGCATGCAGGAGGCAGCTGATCAATGATGCTCATCATTGATGTTTGTATCTCTCTCTCCCTTCTCTCTTCCTCTCTAAAACCAATAGATAAAAAATATATTTAAAGATTTTTTAAAAGAATATTTATATAATAGATTTTTTTCATTGATGAAATGCAATTAACCAGTTAACTGCCACAATATTTTGAATTTAATTTAAAAAGGGCCACCATTTGCATCTATAGATGTTCATGGCATACAAATGGTTAATACCTGTGAAAGTATGGCAGTAGTTATATCAGTAACATGGCATGTTGTATAAATGTTGACTATACCATACACTATACCTTTGAGCAATTAGAAATATATTGATTTCTTCAGACTCTCATCTAACATTCTATAATAAACAACTTTTTATATATCTACATGATCTTTGTCTTTGAAATTTTTAATGCCTACTTAATAGTCCATTGAGTTACTTATAAAAGTATAGCTGGGCATCCAGGCTATTTGCTAAGTTTTACTTTTATAAATAACTAGAGGCCAGGTGCATGCAATTCATGCATTCAGAGGGATCCCTCAGCCCTGCCTGTACCCTCTCACAGTCCAGGAGCCCTTAAGGAATGTCCAATTGGCAGCTTAGGGAGCGGGCCTACGCCAGCAGTTGAACATCCCTCTCACAGTCCAGGATCCCTCGCTCTTTACCACTCGCTGCTCCTTACCGTGGCTCACTGCTCCTTAGTGCTGCCGCGGAGGTGGGTCATTGTGCTTGCCACCTGTGAGCCAGGTTTCTGGCTGAGCAGCCCTCCCCCTGTGGGAGTGCACTGACACCGGGGGTTAGCTCCTGCGTTGAGCATCTATCCCCGGGTGGTCAATACACATCATAGTGACCAGTCATTCTGCTGGTCAGTCAATTTGCATATTTGCCTTTTATTATATAGGACAATACAGATAAGCATCATTAGAGAAGCATCAGTTTTTTTCCCTTGTGAATTATTTATGAAGGATTAAACTACTAGTGACATAATTGGGTTGAGAACTTCAACATTTTTATAGTTCTTGCTGTATGTTACCAAATCATTTTATAATGTCAAGTATACAATGGCAGAGAGCAGTTTGCTTAAAGTCATTCCAGCACTGAGATTTTATTAAAATATATTTCTGAAAATGATAACCATCATTTAAAATAGATTCACTGTGGCATCTTTAACAAAACATGATGAATTGAAGCAATTGAATGTAGTTAACTATTCATGTATGGTTTTCCTCTGAAGAATTTTTATAGAAAAGAATGTTAACCCAAGATATATTTTAGATCAGAACTTAACTAGGGTTACTGCATGCTATATGGAAATTATAATTCTTATTTTAATTTAGGAGATAATTATTGATAGTCCTTATCTGTAGCTCTAATTTAAACAGCCTTAGCTATTTTATTAAAATTCTGTGTGCAGAGACAGTCATAGCACATTAGGAAGTATAAGAAAGACATAAAGGGACAATGTGTCTAACATTTGCATTTAAATTACTACTATGTAACCTATCCATGCACTAAGACTTATAACCTTGTATACCAGAGAGTACAATTTCCTTCTCTTCAGATTGCTTAGTATAATCCTATATAATAAAGATGTAATATGCAAATGGTGGTTACACCGTGAAGCTTAATGACTGACCGCGTAACAATCAGATCATGGATCAGCAGGAGGATGGGGCAGCGAGCTACAAGCAGGTGGCAGAGAGCTACAGGAGGGGGCAGGGCAGCAAGCTATGGGGGGCAAGGGGCAGGAAGAGGGGAAGGGAAAAGCTACAAGAGGGTGGGGCACCGGGCGGAGAGCTACTGGAGGGCGGCATCAAACTACTGGTGAGCTACTGGCGCACGGATTTGTGCGCAGGGCTCCGAGTAGCCTGATAAAAGTCATTTTCTCACATCTGGGCATTCCTATCTCCCTTTTCAAATTATTAATAAAAAGAGCCTGGTTCTAATATGTGGTCAGGGCTGAGTCGTCTTTAGTATAAGGTCCTAGAGTCTCAGTGCATTCTTTTACTTTGGCTTTTTCTTATAGACCAATAGAACTTTGTATGTAAATCAGATTAGAGGAGATTAAAATTTTCAAACCAGACTTAAAATCCTGGGTGGTCTTATAAATAACATTAAAACACTCTTTTTATATATATACCATACACCAAACACAAGACTATATATATTTTTAATTGATTTTTTTTTTTTACAGAGAGGAAGGGAGAGGGATAGAGAGTTAGAAACATCCATGAGAGAGAAACATCGATCAGTTGCCTCCTGCACACCTCCTACAGGGGATGTGCCCGCAACCAAGGTACATGCCCTTGACCAGAAGCAAACTTGGGACCCTTGAGCCCACAGGCCGACTCTGTATCCACTGAGCCAAACTGATCAGGGCACATTAAAACACTCTTAAAGGCCAATGTGGTTTTAGGATAGTATTAAGGACACATACTCTTCCCTGGGCAGTCTGAGAAGACTTCTGTGGCCCAGGGAAATCTAGCCAACCTGGAAACCATTTCTGGGAAGAGAAATATTATAGCTTCACAGCTCACCCAGGTATTTGGCTTCACTGTTAGCCAAATTCTAGGGCAACCACAAATCTAAACTAAAATTTAATATTAGCCTATCATACATCTCATGTCTAAATTTTTTTATCTTCCTTTGAAATACATGCCAAAATTATTCCCTAACTTGAGCAAAGCACTACCTAAAAGTCCTACGTCCATTTTTTAAAATGTAATAAATTATACAACACTTTAATTCTACTTAATATAGGAATTAAAAGTTTAACAATATGATTGTAGTTTAAATTGGGGGGGGGGGGGGGGGTTCCTACTGTGTTTCTTTCCTAGCAAGCAGTAATAAATTGTAAGGAAGGTCTAAATTATAAACTACCTTGGCATCTAAAAAAACAAAACAGTATTGGACAGGAAAATGGGAAAAAAAAGCAACAACAAAAAATAACACCAGTATTGTTTATATGATACTTATTTTCTCTCTAGGAACATTTTATGGAAGTAATTCGAAACCAGGAATTTGTACTATTACCAGCCAATGAAATTGCAAAGCTCTTGGCCAGTGATGACATGAACATTCCTAACGAGGAGACAATATTGAATGCACTTCTTACTTGGGTCCGTCATGACTTGGAACAGAGACGGAAAGATCTCAGTAAACTTCTGGCTTATATTAGGCTACCTCTTCTGGCACCACAGGTAAACAATTTTTAATTATTTAAAAACAATAGCATAATTTCAACAAAATTTGAGTATTCACTTTATGCTAATTACATTAATATATAGTTATATCTAGTTTTTTTCCTTACTATTCTATCCCATAGGGTTATTTTATGTATATTCCTATTAAGTGGATGTGTTTTTTTTTATATATATTTTTATTGATTTCAGAGAGGAGAGGAGAGGGAGAGATAGAAATATCAATGAGAGAGAATCATCAAACGGCTACCTCCTGTATGACCACACTGGGGATTAAGCCCACAACCCAGGCATATGCCCTGACCTCAGGGAATCAAACCATGATCTTCTAGTTCCTGGGTCAATGCTCAACCATTGAGCCACAGAGGCAGTTGATCGATGTTCCTCTCTCATCGATGTTTCTAACTCTCTATCCCTTTCCCTTTCTCCCTGTAAGTAAAAAGTGCAACATTTAAAAGATTCACATTCTAAATTTCATTGAAAAAAACCCCCAAAACTGTGAGGTATACATGGTATGCTTTCAAATCTTAATAGTGTTTATCTCTTAAAAATAGGTGTCCAGACTTGGATTTTTTAAAAGTGAGATCATTTCCATTTGTGAACTATATAGTTTATTCTTTTACCCTTCCTATTTTTTTGGTCATTCAGTTTACATATAACTTTTTTTTTTTTCTAGTTCCTGGCAGACATGGAAAATAATGCACTTTTTCGGGATGATATAGAATGTCAGAAACTAATTATGGAAGCAATGAAGTATCATTTATTACCAGAGAGACGACCCATGTTACAAAGTCCTCGGACAAAACCTAGGAAGTCAACTGTTGGTACATTATTTGCCGTTGGAGGAATGGATTCAACAAAAGGTATTAAACAATCTTTTATTTGTGGAAAAATGAATTTTAATTAGTAATAAATATGGCAAGGATCTCTTTGGGAAAATGGCTGGCTCTAACATTGGGGTAGGAAAAGTACAAGATAAACCTAGAACATCTTGTAGAACCAGAAAGTAAGAGGTGCTCAAAGAATGATGGAGACAGATCAAAGAACACTTTCTAGGGGTTACCACTGTCCAAGCTAGGATAATTTCAGCATCAAAAATATATAATGTAATTAAAAGATTACAAACTATTATTATAAATCATGAGTATTCATGACCACACTGATTCACATAAAGAAGGGTGAAGGGAAAGTTCCTCCTTATAATAGAATGCCAACTGATCAATGTGAAAGCCATGATGGGATTAAAAAAACACCACATGGCAACCACGATAATAACTAATTCAGTCAGAGGTCATCAATGGATGCTGAGACTAGTAGGTGAAAGTTTAAGAACAGGATAGTTAGTCTCTTATTAGTTACAAAAGGTAAAATAGTCTCTTTACAGTGGACAGACCTGACACACACCTTAACCAAGTAACCTAAGGTCAGATTATCAGTAATGAGACTAACCAGCAGCATGTGCATTTTATAAGATGTGTAGAGAAGAACTCAGCTGCACCTATATGGTATTCTTGCAAAAAGTATATAATTTGAATTTGTTCATAAGGAAAAGACAAACAAATTCATATTGAGGGGCATGCTACAAAATAACTTGTCTGTCGCTAGTATTCCAAAATAACCATGTCAAAAAATATAGAAGAGGTTTAGGAATTGTTTCAGATTATGAGAGACTAAGGAGACATGACACCTATATATGCATATAATGCATCATCACCTTGGATTTTCTTTTGCTATAAAGGACATAACTGGGACAAATGACAAAGTCCAAATAAGGTCTTTGATTAGATAACAGCATTATATAAATGTTAATTTCCAGATTTTGGTGATTGTTTTATGGTTTTGTAAGAAAATTTCTTGTTTTGAGGAAGATATACTGATGTATTTAGAGGTACAGGGGCATCATTTCTGCAACTTACCCTTATACAGTTCGGGGGGAAACATACATACATACATACATACATACATACATACATAGAAAGAAAATATAGTAAAACAAACATTTGGGAAATCTGGCACGAGGACATCTGGGAATTCTTTGGATCATCCTTGCAACAGTTGTTATTAATAGTGATAGTGATAGATAAACACCATGTATACTGCCTCCCCAGTGCCAGATATTGTGCTAGGAGCTTTCTCTGTATTATCTTGCAGTACACATTAATCTCTTCCTCTGAATTCTCACCATCTGTAATCCCCTGACAATACAGTCTCTGATTATGGTTACCTCTCTGGTCTCAGCTCATTCTATTTCTTCCCTCCCTCCTTCTGCCCAGTCCCATTGGCCTCCTTGTCCAGCTAACATTATCCCATGTCGGGATTACTGCATTAGCTATTCCCTGTCATGGATGCTCTGTGCCTTGAAACTGGGATATCTAACAGAAATTACTCACTCAGATCTCCTTTCAAATGTCAATTTACCAATGGGGAGCATTGAGCATTGAGCACTCAGTACAACCTCTTACCCATCACTTTCTAATACTTTGCTTACCACTTTCTATCTCCTTAGTCTGCTTCATGTTTCTTCATAGCAGCTGATACATTTGTTTATGGTCTGTCTACCTCTTCTCCCCAGGTAAGCTCCAGAACAGCAAGGATTTGTTGTGTTCGCTAATACATTCCCAGAGCCTAAAAGTGCCTTGCACATAAACAACATCTAATGAAGGTTGCCCTCTGCCACCTCTTGAATTACTTGTATGGCGGCTAACACACTTGATGCATTAATCATGTTTAAAGGTTTCTCTTCTATGTAACATCTCTAAGATACAAAAATATGAGCTCTGATAGAAACTCTTATATTGTTATTTAACTTTTAGGTTTATGGAAGCAAAGATAGATATAGATCCAAATATATAGGTATTATTTCATATAACATATAGCAAAGTGCTATATATGTACAGATGATTAAGTTCTAAATAGAGATGTGATGATTACATAGTATAGAAGCACATAAAGTAAGATAACTGATTAGAGTCATAGTAAAAATATTTGAAAATTTTTGTAGAGCTCTACAGTCCACATAATCAGTCTTCAAATACTGGGTATTAAATATCTGCTCTGCCCTAGTTGTTTTTTTCTCAGTGGATAGAACATCAGCCTGCAGACTGAAGGTTCCTGGGTTCAATTCCAGTCAAGGGCACATGCCTGAGTTGTGGACTCAATCCCCAGTGTGGGGCATGCAGGAGGCAGCCAATCAATGATTCTCATTATTGATGTTTTTATCTCTCCCTTCCCTTCCTCTCTGAAATCAATAAAGATATATTTTTTAAAAGTATATATATATCGATATATCCCTAGCACTGCTAGCTCCCCTCCATCTTTCCCTCTCCTTTTCAAGCCTTTATCTGTTATCTCTTTATTAATTACTAGGGGCCTGGTGCACAAAATTCATGCATGGGGAGTGAGGGTGTTCCTCAGCCCAGCCTGCACCCTCTCCAATATGGGACCCCTCGAAGAATGTCCTACTGCTGGTTTACAGGGATCAGGTCTAAACCAGCAGTCAGACATCCCTCTCACAACCTGAGACTGCTGGCTCCAGCCACTTACCTGCCTGCCTGCCTGATTGCCCCTAACCATTCTGCCTGCCGGCCTGTTCGCCCCCAAATGCCCCCCACCAGCCAAATCACCCCCAATTGTCCCCCCATGCCAGCTGCTCATCACCAGCTGCCCCTATTGCTGGCCTGCTCACCCCCACCCTCTCTCCCCACTGGCCTGCTCACCCCCAACTCCCCCCCACTCTGCTATCCTGATCACCCCCAACTGACCCCCCTGCTGGTCTGCTTATTCCCAACAGCCCCTGCCAACCCATCCTGGCCAGATCAATACACACACACACACACACACACACACACCCGCCACCCAAGGTCCCAGCCCCTCCTTTTTTCCTTGAGTGGAGGCCAGGGCCAGCTGAAGCAAGTATCTAGGATTTATTTATCTTGTATAATTGAAACTTTGTAGTCTTGAGTGGAGACCAGGACCAGCCAGGGCAGGAAGCTTGGCTTCCTCCATCAACCCAAGCCTCCTGCTCAGCTCCAGCTCCATGGCTTCCGCCATTTTTGTTGGGATTTATTTATCTTCTATAATTGAAACTTTGTAGCCTTGAACAGAGGCCAGGGTGGGAAGCTTGGCTTCCTCCATTGCCGTGGAAACCCTAGCCTACTGCTTGCTCCAGCCCCATGGCTGGCTGCCATCTTGGTTGAGTTAATTTGCATAGTTGCTCCTAATTGGCTGTTGGGCATGGCTTATGGATGTAGCAGAGTGATGGTTAATTTGCATGTTTCTTTTTTATTAGTGTAGGTGCTCTCTAACTTCATTTTATTCTCATAATTTTAGCTTGTATAAAATGTTTTATGTTCAACTTTCACCTCAAACTTTGTGTGTTCAAATCTTCTCTGACCATGTCTCCCAGACTTGGTTCATAGTTCAATGTTCCTCAGTGGACACCAACTCTGATGTCTATTTATTTAAGGAAATAGACATTTATTGGAAGGCTATTGAGAAATAGGCAGAAGCTATATCCACTGTCCCTTCTTTATAAATCCTGCTTTCAATTTTAAATCTCAGGTGCAACCATCCATTTGACTACATTTAGCTCAGTCTTTAGTCCTAAACTTCCAATGGCAAAGACAATGTATATCTGTCTTTTCAGTTTTCTGGGAGATGGATTCCTGCCTGTCATCAAGGCTTATACATACCGTGTAAAATTCCCCAAGCGTGAGAATGGGACTCAAAATCTAAGTACCCAGAGAAAACAATATATATCTACTGCCACCCTCTGCCCCTAGTCACTAAGTGACTTTTTCCAAATGGGTCTTATTCTTCCATATTTCCATTGCTATCTTTCTAATTCCAGCTAGCCTCCTGTAAGCCCACAAATTTTGGCCATGTTATTTTATGTTGTTCATGTGTGCCAGGCATTATTCTATATCATTTTATCTTCATAGCAACTTTCAGAGCTGATGTTATCATTAACCTCTTCTGTAGATAAAGATATGGAGAGAGAACTTTAAACAGTACTCTCTGCTTCGTTAACTCTTCTATTAACATGCCATTTTCCTGCTCAAAAGCTCCAGCAATTCTCATTTCTTACCACAAAAAGTGTAAATTTCTCTTTCTAGATTTCAAGGCTTACTGAAATCTGGCCCTTGAGGCTTGACAAATATTATATCTGAGTTTTTCTTAATAACACTCTGACCTTCAATCCTGTGCAAGCTGTCTTCCTGGGCCTTACCTTATTCTTAATAAAGAAAAGCTGATCACATTAGTTGATGATTGGGTTCTTGGTCTGTAATGTGTCTGTTTAGTATAGAGTCCAACAAATAAAGTGAGAATGGTTCTAAGTAGCCACTAGGAAAATGTTATATTTGTGCCTATTTTTTAAAGTTAATTCTTCCATATAAATTAGGGAAGTTCTAAACTTTCATGTAGAATTTTGCAGTTGTTAGGGCTTTCTTATGCTTTGAGATATATATATATATATATATTTAAGATATATGTTTCAGATAGTGTTTTAAGACTTTATGTAAGATTGTTTGATATTAGCAAAAAAATTTTTGTTACCAAGTAGATACAAAAAAAATAAGTTAAAATCAAAATGAAATAAGTATTTCTTAAATCCATTAGCAAGGAAAATACATTAACGAAGGAATAGTTTTAAGGTCAAATTTAAAGAGATGCATCAAGTATACCATTATATAAATAATCTGAGTGTATGAGTAAAATCTCCTTATAGCTAAAAATTACAAAGAAAGACTATTCAGCCCTAATCGGTTTGGCTCAGTGGATAGAGCATCAGCATGTGGACCGAAGGGTCCTGGATTTGATTTCCGTCAAGGGCATGTACCTCAATTGCAGGCTTTCCCTGGCCCAGGCCCTGGTTCAGGGCATGTGCAGGAGGCAACCAATCAACGTGTTTCTCTCACTTCAATATTTCTTTCTGTCTTTCCCTCTCTCTTTAAAAATTAATTGGAGGGGGGAAAAAAGGAAAAATAATAAATAAATAAATAAATAAATAAAATTAATTGGAAAATATCCTCCAATGAAATTTTTTGAAAAAAAAGACTATTCAAATTCAAAAGTATTTTTGAACAGCTACTATGTACAAGGGAGTCTACTTTATCGCCCTGTGAAAATATAGAGATGGAAAACGACTTGGTATTTATTTAAAATAACCTAAAATTTTTATAGATTAAATAAAAAATAATGAAAACTACAATAATGAGAAAATTTTATAACATATATAATAAATTTCTAAATTTTAGGGGATTATCAATAATATTGGTGCTCTGATGACCTAATTGCAATAAATTCGTTAGGATACATGTTTGTCCTGGCTGGTATCCTATAAGAATAGCACTGATTGCATGTTATCTTAAAAGCGTAAAAGAGGGGAGTAAAGTAGACACTAACTAAACTTTGTACCCGAGGGTGGGTTTTTCCCCTCAACTCCACTGGTCTCACTTCGTAAATAGAACATGAGTTCTTTGACCCCTCCAATTCTTACAAAAATGTAGACACCATCATATAGTTACTTCATAAACTTCCCACACTTGTTCCCAAAGGACATGATCCATACTTATGCTGCTGTCCTCCCTGGTTGCAATGGAATGTGTGTCCTCTTGCTCCCCCTGTGACACCAGCCCCTCACCTGTGCTCTGATATTACCCTTCCCTGCCTCTCAGGATCCCGTCATCTCCTGAATCTTCAGCTTCTCTCCGCATAACTACATCCTTCCCATTACCTTATAAACAAACTCAGGTTTTTCCAATTTTAAAAGCAAAGCAAGACAAAACCTCCTTCGACCCAGCTTGTAATTTCTGTCTTTCTCTCCTCCCCTTTATAGCCAAACGTCTTCAAAGAATCATCTGTGTTCATTGTCTCCATTTCCTCACCTCCCAATCCTCTTAACCACTCAAACAAAGGACTCTCTTTAAAGTCACCAGTAATGCTGTTTAGTTTTCATCTTACTTGGCCCTCTCAGTAGCATTTGGTACTGTTCATAGTTCTCCCTGCTATAAACTTTTTTCCTTATACTTCCATGACACTAAACTACCCTGGTTTTCCTCCCACTTCTAGCTAATGCTTCTTGACCTTCTTTGACAAATAATTTTCTTTTACTTGATCTTTTAATACCAGAGCGTAATATATGCCCTGAAGAATAAATAGTAGGAGCTTTATGCCCTGGTGAATGCCCTGGAAAATATTAGCAGATAGGGTCAGAGATCTAAGCAGGGGCCAGATCATGCAGGGGCTTACTGGAAAATAATAAAGTATTATTGTCAAAGCTCATAATTATGCTTTTATCTGTATAATGTCATAAAATACTCAATCATGGTGAAATTTTTATTTACATAATTTTATGTATTACCATTAAGGAGCAACAAGCATTGAGAAGTATGATCTCCGTACCAATATGTGGACTCCTGTAGCAAATATGAACGGGAGGAGACTGCAGTTTGGTGTTGCCGTGTTAGATGACAAACTGTACGTGGTTGGAGGAAGAGATGGACTGAAGACTTTGAATACTGTAGAATGCTACAACCCCAAAACAAAAACTTGGAGTGTCATGCCTCCTATGTCCACACATAGGCACGGCCTTGGTGAGGATCACTGCGGATTTGTTCCTAAGTGGGATTAGGCCTCCTCGGCATGTTTACATTCTGTACCAGGCAGAGCAAGACCAGAATTGTGCAGCTGCAGAGTCAGAAGGGGTCGCCACGCATTTCTTCACGTTCTCTCTCTCATCTGAGGGGTAGGAGCAGAGAAAACAAGCATGTACGAAAATGTACATGTGCAACTAATACAAATGAAAGCATGAATATTTTAGTGTAGCATGATGGGCTGATGAGCCACCTTTTGACACATGTGTATTTTGTGTTGACAATTAGTATTGTCTAACCTAATTGAAATGCTTATTTAAACATCGTTAGCATTATTGTGTTCCATTTATTAAACACAAATGAGTAAAACCCAGAAAATTTTAAAGAGGCACAGAGAAGGCAATGATGAGACTTTTTATTTTGCATTCAATAATTCACTGTTGGTCCTCAAAATACTGCCTCTAAAAGTTTTTTAAATATATTTTTAGACATTTATTTATTTATTTTTGTTAATCCTCATCCGAGGATATTCTTCCATTGATTTTTAGATAGAGTGGAGGAGAGAGGGAAAGACAGAGAGAAAAACATTGATTGGTTGCCTCCTGCCCACGCCTTGACCAGGGCCTGTGCCTGGGCGGATCCTGCAACCAAGGTATGTGCCCTGGACCAGAATCAAACCTGGAAGGATTCTTTGGTCCGCAGGCTGACGCTCTACCCACTGAGCCACAGGCGCTCTAAAGCTTTAAGACCAGAGCTATAGTGCAGTTTCTCCCCCTCACTCACCCACCTGTCTACCAAGAAGAGCTGTGAGTAAACCAGATGTCTACATCATAAATTTTTGCTTAAATTTGCATGTTTAAGATTCATTGTACTTACATTTCAATTAAAACGTGACTTTTACGTCATTCTGGTCTTGTAGGTGTGGCTGTATTGGAAGGTCCCATGTATGCAGTTGGAGGGCATGACGGCTGGAGCTATCTGAATACAGTGGAAAGATGGGACCCTCAGGCGCGCCAGTGGAATTTTGTTGCCACTATGTCCACTCCCAGGAGCACAGTAGGTGTGGCAGTACTCAGTGGCAAGTAAGGAAATATTTAGTTCTCTTTAAAACAATAAACTAAATTTATTAAGCTAGTAGAGGCCCGGTACATGAAATGTGTGCACTCAGGGGGGTCCCTCAGCCTGGCCTGCACCCTCTGGCAGTCCACAGCCCTCGGTGGATGTCAGAATGCTGCAGAGGTGGGAGAGGCTCCCACCACCACCACTGTGCTGACCAGCCATGAGACCAGCTTCTGGCTGAGCAGTGTTCTTCCTGTGGGAGCGTACTGACCACCAGGGGGCAGCTCCTGCATTGAGCATCTGCCTCCTGGTGGTCAGTGCATGTAATAGCAACCGATTGTTCTACTGGTTGGTTAATTTGTATATTAGCCTTTTATTATATATTATAGTATATCATGTCCAATTTAAGAATATACATAACTAAATCACAAAAGGGAAATATTTCGAGTATTGTAAACAAATGGTTTAAATAGTCTCTTTTATAAAAGTTCTGATATAAATATTTCAACAGTAAGTTGAAGTGTGCACCCTTAGTGAAGAAAGCCTTGCTATCTTTCAGATGCAGTAGAGCTTCACTCACCCCAACAACAGTGTGTGCTCATTCATAAACCAATGTTTTTCTAACTTGCTTTATCAAAGTTGCAATGTTTTAACTATTTTTTAAATATATTTTTTATTAATTTTAGAAAGGGAGAGGAAGAGAGAGAAACATCAGTGGTGAGAGAGAATCATTGATCAGCTGCTTCCTGCATGTGTCCTACCAGGGATCAAATCCGCAACCTGGGCACATGCCCTGATGGGGAATCGAACCATGATCTCATGGTTCATAGGTCTGTATTCAACCACTGAGCCACTCTGTCTGGGCTGTTTTAACTATTTTGTTGGTGTCCATTTTCAGTATATATTCAGAATCTGGAAAAATAGAAACTCTATTTTTAGTTTTCAAAAAAAGTATGCAGTTGATTGAAAAAATAAATTATGCATCTTTATCACTCCTTTGTGATTGAAACAAATCACACAAGTCAGTCAGAAAAAGTAAAGAGCCATATGATTTCACTCATATCTATAATAATAAAAGTGTAATATGCTAATTAGAACAGACGGGTGCCTGCTGGTGGCCAGAGAGAAGCCTGGGTCCCGGGTGCCTGCAGGAAGCCAGTGCCAGCAGCCAGGGGAAGGAAGGCCTACTCTTGCACGAATTTCAGGCCTCTGGTGTAGGATATAAAACTGAAACTCATGAACACAAACATCAGTGTGGTGGTTGCCAAAGGAAAGGGGGTGGGGAGAGAAGAAGGTTCTAATACAAGGTGACAGGAGAAGATTTGGCATTAGGTGGTGGGCATACAGTGCAACATACAGATTTGGTAGCATTGAAACCCACTCCTGAAACCTATATGTTCACACTGACCAATGTCACCCCAATAAAAATTTTTTAAAAATTGGCAGGCTGGAGGGATCAATAGGGGAGAAAATAGGAACATATATTAATATAACGCTTTCAATAATAAAGATTTAACATAAAATAAAAATAATTTTAAAACAAAAGAATAAATCATTTCTCTATGCCTCAATTATTTTTGCATTTTAATTTCTTTATTGATTAAGGTTTAATCTATACAATGAAAAACTTAGATAAACTACTGTTTTGTTATTTTCATTTATTTTGCAGTGCTTCCTAATGCAAAATCTAGTTGTTTCTTTAGGAAAGAACTGTTTCGATGTCTTATGAGTTTCAATCTGTATCTTAAAAATTTCAAAGTGTCGCCGAAACTGGTTTGGCTCAGTGGTAGAGCCTCGGTCTGCGGACTGGAAGGTCCCAGGTTCGATTCTGGTCAGAGGCATGTACGTTGGTTGCGGGCACATCCCCAGTAGGGGGTGTGCAAGAGGCAGCTGGTCGGTGTTTCTCTCTCATCGATGTTTCTAGCTCTCTATCTCTCTCCCTTCCTCTCTGTAAAAAATCAATAAAAATATATTAAAAAAAAAAAATTTCAAAGTGTTGCTGAAGCCGGTTTGGTCTGTGGACTGAAAGGTCCCAGGTTCGATTCCGGTCAAGGGCATGTATCTGGGTTGCGGGCACATCCCCAGTAGGGGGTGTGCAAGAGGCAGCTGGTCGATGTTTCTCTCTCATCGATGTTTCTAGCTCTCTCTCTTTCCCTTCCTCTCTGTAAAAAATCAATAAAATATATTTTTTTAAAAATGTTTTTTCAAAGTGTTGCTGAAACTGGTTTGGCTTAGTGGATAGAGCATCGGTCTGCAGACTGAAAGGTCCCAGGTTCAATTCCCGGTCAAGGGCATGTACATTGGTTGCGGGCACATACCCTGTAGAGGGTGTGCAGGAGGCAGCTTGTCGATGTTTCTCTCTCATCGATGTTTCTAGCTCTCTATCCCTCTCCTTCCTCTATGTAAAAAATCAATAAAATATTTTTTTTTTAATTTTTTTCAGTGTTAAGTTTTCCATTCTACCATGTTTGACGGAAAGAAACTTTATTTAGACTTTCAGCTGCTTGGCTACTTTTAAGCCACTGGCTGACAAATATTTTTGGTAGTAGAATCTTTCAAATAAAATCTTACTAAAATCTCATTATTTAAGACTAATGGAGGTTCAAATTTACACTAAGCTTATTTTAAATGTATTATAAGGTCAAGTTTATAATATTTATTTATTATACATTTTAGTGTAGAAGACTAAAAGACTGTTTTTAAGAACACCCAGATTATTTGTTTTGTTTTGGTAGTCCAAATGAAGAAAATTCTGATTCAAAAATAAGCTGAAAATAGTAACAATTATTTTATCTACTAGAGAATTTAATTGGACTCTTAGGAAACCTCAGTTATGTTTTTTCTAAGTTTAATCTCAAACAGTATCTACCAACCATTGACATTCTTTTTTAAAATTATTTTTATTGATTTGAAAAAGAGGGAGAAAGAGAGAGTTGCTTCTTGTATATGCCCTATCCATCCAGGGTCAACCATCGGCATTCTTGATCATAATTTTAAGTTAGGGAAGACCTAATTTTAAAAGTCAGGAAAGGCCTAAATCTTACATTTTAAAATATTTAGTATAAGACTGTCACAATTTGACATAATATATATATATTTTTTTACTGTCATGGGAAAGAAAGATGAGTTCTGAATCTTGCACTTAATTAAGCTAGGTGATATTTTTGAAAATTAAAACTATTTTTTAAAACTTAAATTTCAAATGAACTATTTTGGGGATACTCTCAAGTCCTCTACAGAATCCTATTCTTAGAATACAGTTTGAAGACCATTGCTTGAGAGAATGATTCTTCACAAAGTGTTACCAATACAACTTGGCCCTTAATATTAGCATAATATAAATGTTGTTTATACACTTAATGTTTCCTAAAAACATTATTTTCTAAAAGAATGCAAATAGAGACAGACTTCATTATCCTCTCAAACATGTATACATTATTTTCCAATGTAAAATACTGTTCAAAATAATTTTAAAATGATCATTAATAATCCTCTGAGGCAGGGCTTCTAAATTATACGGATGATGAGATTAGGCAGGTAGAAGTTAAATAACTTGTCCACAGTCACAACTGGTAAGTATTAAGTGTCAGAACCAGGATTCAAACCCCGAGAGTCTGGGCTCAGAGTTTATTACAGCCCTTTTCACAGTAAAGATCCATGAATTCATTGTGAGGAGATTAAGGTGCCTTGAAGCCTCTTGTACTGTGTGTGTGTGTGTGTGTGTGTGTGTGTGTGTGTGTGTGTGTGTTTATGTGTGTATATATGTATTTTTAATTGTTGATATTTTCTACTTAGTGATGTCTTCTAATATTCTGTGATAAATATTTAGATAATTATTCTATCAACTACTGGTTAAAGATTAGAATAGTTTAATATTAAGAGCAGAGACACAAAAAAAGTAATACTTCACAGATTACAAATTTTAACAGATTAAAGTTCAAATAAATTGAAATTTCCGTATTATAATATAGCTTAAATTTAGAACTTGTTGTAACAATTACTACAACCTTATGTTGCTGTTTAAAATAGGATCATCTTATTTAAAAACTAGATTGAGTGGCATAGTGAATTTTAAATTATGGATTAAAATTATGAAATCTGTCTTTAAAATATGTGTATTATCCAAATGTAAATACTTAGAACTTTAATGGGCAGAAACTTGGTACAGTTCAAATATTATTTCTTGAAAATAAAAATCTAGTTAAATGTTAAGGCCTCTATAGGTTAAAAATGCATGACCTTTAATAGTAGCAATGAGCTGAATTTATTACTCTTCTTTTGTTTTTAATCCTCACCCAAGGTTATGTTTTTTATTGATTTGAGAGAGAAAGAAAGGTGGGGGGAGAGAGACAGAGAAACATAAATGTGAAAGAGAAACATGGACTGGTTGCCTCATACATGCCCCAACTAGTGATCAAACCTGCAAACTTTTGGCACATGGGATGATGCTCCAACCAACTGAGCCACCTGGTCAGGGCATACTCTTTCTTTTAAAAAGCATTAGAAAAATAATATGAAGAACTACAAGTAAATAATAAGTACAAGAAGAGTTTGTGCCTAATAAAAATATTAAAATGTTCAAGTATTTAAAACATTTGAGTCCTACCCGGTTTGTCTCTGTGGATAGAACATCAGCCTGTGGACTGAAGGGTCCCAGGTTCGATTCCTGTCAAGAGCACATACCCAGGGTTGTGGGCTCCATCCCAAGTGGGGTCATGCAGGAGACAGCCAATCAATGACTCTCTGTCATCACTGATGTTTCTGTCTCTCCCTCTTCCTTCCTCTCTAAAATCAATAAAAGTATATTTAAAAAATAAAAATAAATAAAACATTTTATATGGTATTTAGAGTAAAAGACTTTCAAATTACTACTGTATCTTAATTGAAAATGAATTAAACTTGACCAAGGCAGCATTTATATACCATATTTTCTATATTTTAAGACATTTAACGTCTCTAAAAATACAGAGCATTTTACAGCCAAGGGCGGCAAGATGGCAGCTGTGAAACAGTTGCTGTCATGTGAGTTTGGTGTTCTTTTATATGTAAAGTTAGTGATATCTGATATATCCAGATATATACATATGTCATTTGATTGGTAACATGTCATTTTTCTAATGGTACATAAATTGACAGTGTATCTTATATTCAGTGGCACTTTTAAGTTAATAGAAATACCATAAGAATAACCTCTTTGACTTAAGTGTAGCACTGTTTCTTACTTATCATTCTGTTTGATCTTTTTACAGACTTTATGCAGTTGGTGGTCGGGATGGAAGTTCTTGTCTCAAGTCAGTAGAATGTTTTGATCCTCATACTAATAAGTGGACACTCTGTGCACAAATGTCTAAAAGGAGAGGGGGAGTAGGCGTAACCACCTGGAATGGATTGCTGTATGCTATCGGAGGGCACGATGCTCCCGCTTCCAACTTGACCTCCAGACTCTCAGACTGTGTGGAGAGGTAATTTCTTGTACAGGAAAACTAGGAATACAAAAGAATGCTATATGCCTCAGACACTTTCAGAAAAATTTATAATTCTTTATTGAGCATCCACCACATGTGATTTTCCTTAGGAGCTTTGTAAATATCGGGTTATCTGTTCTGCCATCTCTCAGTCAGCACCCTAACCACCTCCTCAGATTCTTGTTTTATAACTGCCTGCTTCAACTTTACCTTAGAATTGATTATATAATTTATTAATTGAATCGTAGGAAAAATGTTTATTGCATACCATTTTTTTGTACTAGACACTGTAACTAATAAAAAAAAGAAAAGGAGCTCAGTGAATTTCAGAGATAATTAATTAGGGGCTAGAGCAGTAGTTCCCAACTTGGGGCATTTGCCCTACAGGGGAGCAATTTGATTTTTAAGGGGGTCAATTCAAGAATAAGTTATTAACAGTGAATTTTTTGCATTTCTTATGGTTCTAGAGACCTTATACAGTATATAAATATATATTGTGACATATTTATGCATTTCAGTTCTCTGCTATATTAAATTTTTATTTAATTATAGTTTAAATATATATAAATTTGAAACTTTATTTACTATTTTTTCATATCACTTCATATTATTTTTTAACAGTTTCTTAGTGATTTCTTCCTCACTACTGCAACTGTCCTTTTGTTCTTTTATGTTTCTCTTTCATGGATGCCATGTTCTTTGGAAGCTTGTTTAGACCAAGTTAAAAGTTTTTAGGAAAGGATACTCTATTCTCTAAACCATGTACAAATGCATTTTGTATAGCAGACAATAAGACAAAAAGATAGGCTTAAAGAACAAAACCATTTTTACATAAAATATTGTGAGGACAATGTCAGCTCCAGTTCTAAAATTTTCTTTCAGATATGATCCCAAAACAGATATGTGGACTGCAGTGGCATCTATGAGCATCAGCAGAGATGCGGTGGGGGTGTGTTTACTTGGAGATAAATTATATGCTGTTGGAGGGTATGATGGACAAACTTACCTTAATACAGTGGAGGCTTATGATCCCCAAACAAATGAGTGGACTCAGGTATGTCATTTCATCTTTCATTATTCCACTTACTCTGTGTTGTTTTTTAATTTTTTTTATTTAATGATAGTTGGTATAGAGTCTTATATTGATTCTATCAGTTTCAGGTGTAGAGTATAGTGATTTGACCTTGCAATGTGGTCACCACACTAATTCTAGTAATCATCTGTCACACCATGTAAAGTGTACATATATCCCACATCTTCCGTATCCATTCATCTATCAGCAGACACTTTAGGTTGCCTTCATATCTTGGTTGTTATAAATAATGCTGCAACAAACATAGAGCTGCATCTAACTTTTCAAATTAGTGTTCTTGGTTTTTCTTTATAATTATCCAGAAGTGGAAATGCTGGGTCATATGATATATCTATTTTTAGTTTTTTGAGGAATCTTCATATTGTTTCCATATGGCCTACATCAGTTTGCAGTCTCACCAACAGTGCACCATAATGTATTTGATAAAGGTTGATATCCAAAATATATAAGTAACTCACACAACTCAATAACAAAAAACAAACAATCCAAAGAAAAATGGGCAGAGGACATGAAAAGACACTTCTCCAAAGAAGACATACAGATAGCCAACAGACATGAAAAATGCTCATCATCACTAATCATCAGACAAATGCAAATCAAAATCACAATGCGAACCACTTTGCACTAGTCAGAATGGCTATTATCAGAAAGTCAGCAAATAACAGAGTTGGTGAGGATGTAGAGAAAAGGAAACCCTTGTGCACTTTGTTTTTGTTAAAACAATTCTTTCAGTAAAACAGATCCTCTCAATTTTTTTGGAGGCTTATGATCTCCAGACAAAAGAGTATCAAAATATATAGCCTGAACATGATAAAGTCATCACTTAATTAAATATAAAAAACAAGAGGGACCCATTAATTTTATAACATAATTAAAATCCAAAATTACCTTTAAACTATAAGTTAATACTACTCAGACAAATTATTGTTAGTTGGTATGCCACCATTGCTTGCTGGGAATTGGTAAGATGTTCTAGCATTGCTAGAGCTGACAGCACCACTGTCAGGCTATGAGAAAGAGAGAGGGAGGGGAGATTGTGGAAAACAAAGGGTAGTCGGAAAAATCTGAGCCGCTTACCCACACATGACCAATAATTTTTAAATACTCAAGCCACTGACCTTTAGGAGAAGACTAAATGGCTGGTCATAACCTAATTAGTTAAGCTGGTAATCCTAAATTACATGAACAAGTAAGACATTTGACCTGCAAATTATAGCAAGAGTTCCAAACGTGTCTGTTTCTGGGAGAGCCTAGCTCTTCCAGGAATGGTCTTTTGAGATTTTTTTTTTTTTTTTTTTTTTTTTTTTCCCATCGTCACCAAGAACAGAATCAAGAATTTTGTGCCCCAATTCAGTATCTGGTACATAAAAGACATGCATATGTTTAATTGAGCCAAAGTTTTTTTCATAAGAAGCAATGATAAGTACTGTTAAGAAAACAAAACTTATGCCGAAACAGGTTTGGCTCAGCGGTAGAGCGTCGGTCTGCAGACTGAAAGGTCCCGGGTTCGATTCCGATCAAGGGCATGTACATTGGTTGCAGGCACAACCCCTGTGGGGGGAGTGCAAGAGGAATGCAAGATGTTTCTCTCTCATCGACATTTCTAGCTCTGTATCTCTCTCCCTTCCTCTCTGTAAAAAATCAATAAAATATATATATATTTTTAAAAAAGAAAACAAAACTTATGAGAATCGGGCTGTCATAGAACTTAATTACTTAGGTGGGTAAGGTCTGCATGTGTACAGAGAGCCCACAATGTAGAGTGGTGAGATGAGGGTCCCATGGTATAGGCAGTGAGTAGTTATAGAAAACCAAAGAGAAAAAAGAAAATGGTTTTTGAGAGGGCTTCAGTGAGAAAGAAGTTGAATTTAAGCTAATGTGACCAGACATCCCACTTTTGGCGGGACATCCCCATTTTCAACAATTTGATCAGGACTTTTTAAAAACGCCGCAGGACTCGGGACAAATTGTTAAAAAATCGGGACATCTGGTCACCTTAATTTAAGCTAAACCTTAATGGATCCAACTCAGAAAGTAGAAAGGAAGGAGAAATTGTGTGAGAAAGCATGAAAGAAATACCGCCAAATAGAAATATATGGGCTCTGTTGAGGAAGTGTGGCTGGCTGAGAAGAATAGTTCTTTTTGAAGAGGAAGGTTGGGATCAGGATGGAGGTCCATGAGGGTCAAGCTGAAGAGTCTGGGCATGAGAAGTCAGTGGAGACTTTTAACCAAGAGAGGGATACAATAATAAAAAGTTCACCTGGCAGTAAATGGGGACAGGGTAAATTGGGTTAGAGCAGAAGAGAAGGTTTGAGTTAGACCTACAGGATCTCATTGGAAATTATGTGAGTACCTCCCATCAGCCTTCCACCTTGGCAGAGGTAGTGTGAATGATAATCACGAAACCCAAAATGGGAGAGAAGAATCTCTTTCTCTGAAACATATTTGATTTAAACCCTTGGGCCAGTTATAAGAAAATCTATTGGCCAGCACTTGAGGCTTGTTACTACAGATAATTCATACTTTATGCTGAATCATTCTGTATCAAAATTAATAATCTATGACCGCATAGCTATTTTATGTGCATGCCTCCTCTATCACTAATCCACAGCACCTAGGTGTGAACTTATAACCATAGTATCTGAATAATAAATGTTTCACCCAGTTCCCACAAATGGACGAGAAGACATTTGTACAGGGAAGGAAATGAGGTTACAAAATCTTAAGCTATCCCCACTCTACCACCAGCCTTGACCCAAAGCAGGAGGTGCCTGCATTGTATTTAATAAATTCTCCAAGCTAAACTTGCTAGCTGGTTGTCATGACAACATGTACCATTCACAGTGTAGAGATTTAGTGTCTTGGTTGTTTTGAGAAAAACTGCTAATTACAAACAGATGCTTTGATTTTAACAACTTAGAAGTCACTCCTAGAATACTGTAAGTGGATATGGTTTTAAAATAGATTATTTGTTCAAGGAGATATAACAGCGATCAAAAAAACTGATTTAGATGGAGAATAACTGAGAATTCTCTTACAATTAAAGTCTGTTGTATTCTTAAAATCCACTAATTGATACATCAAACACTTTATATTAGTTCTTTATACTAGTCACTCTTTCCCAAATGCTAACGTTTTATCTTTCTTAGGTCAAATGCATAGATTTTTACTATTCTCAAAGTAGTTCTTTGACAACTATTCTTTCCACATTTTCGTTTCCACTATTAATTTTCTAGTTTTTAGGGTACATTAAAAAAAAAAAAAAAAAGACAGCCTGGCTGTTGTGGCTTATTGATTGAGCGTCAACCCATACACCAAGAGTTTGCTAGTTCGATTCCTGGTCAGGGCACATGCCCAAGTTGTGGGCTCAATCCCCCGTGGTAAGTATGTGAGAGGCAGCCAATCAATGTTTCTCTCTCATTGATGTTTCTGTTTGTCCCTTTTCCTTCCTTTTTCTCTGAAATCAATAAAAACAAAAAAATAGTAATAATAATAAAATAAAAACATTTTTTAAAAGGACAATAAAGTGAAAAATTTAAGAGCAGTTCCTTACCTATAAGTAGTTTATATTCCTCCACCCGGCATTCACACCTCCATCTCACTGTCACAGAGTTCATTCATCAGATTTGTTTCTACTACTAGGAAGTTGAATGAAAATCAGTAGAATGGGTTTAGACTTTTCAGCCATGCATACAGAAAGCAGTCATTATATGGGAAGTTACTGTTATTTTGGGGGTAAGCAGATTCCAGGCATGCAGTGTATTTTGTGTGTTCTCTGATATAATCCTTCTCTTACAGGGCCCCTCTAGACATATTGTTCATAAAGTTGCTTTTAAGTATTCAGCATTTCCTCACAATATCAGCATTTCCTCACATCCATATTGTACATCATTTTGCCCAAAACATCGTACTTCATGTAGGACAATTCCACAGTTATAAAAACACCTTTTCACTATATATATATATATATATATATATATATATATATATATATATATAATCATTATGTTGTACACCTGCAACTAATATAATATTATATGTCAATTATATCTCAATTAATAAAAGGGGAAAAATCACCTTTAAAGAGAAGTGAATAATACATAATCATGTGTGATGTACCCAAGTAATGTGGGATGTCTACGAAAGTTTCACATCAGGAGGAGCTTTGAGGGGGGCGGGGGACCAGGCCAGCGGTAGGTCTGGGGCAGCAGCCTTTTGCCAAGGGGTATGGACTATTTCCATGTTTCACCAACTAGTCTAGTATTACCAACATTTTTACTTACACATGTCTTTTTGTTTCTTTTCAGGTTGCCCCATTGTGCCTAGGAAGAGCTGGGGCTTGCGTTGTGACTGTAAAATTATAATTTAGTGCTTTGATTACTAAATGAAGATATCCTCTTTTATGAATTTAGTACATTTATCCTACTCTCAGTGGATACATTTTTAGGAAATTTGCAATGCCACATTCCTGGGCACAAAGTGCCTGATCTCAAAATGAAGATATTTTTTAAAAGGGAGGATGAACCAGAATCATATACTTTCATTTCTTAGTAAATCAAAAGTATAACTGGTAGATTATGAACATATGTTCCTCATATAAAATACAAGAACAAACATATTGCTCCTAAACACAACCCAATGTTAATTGGAAATTTAATTTCTTAATAATCAAGCACGTTTTATTCACATTACTCAGATTTCTTTTATTACAGTGCAAATAGACCAGATAAAATGTGTAACCTTTTTCATTGTAACTTTATCATACATGAGTTGTAGTAATTTTTATTCATTTCCTTGTTTAACCATAACCACTCTTTAATCATATACTAAAGAGTATGCTATTTAGTGTTCTGTTTATTTGTTTATTTTCAGAAATAGCTGTAATATATGTGCTTTGGTTATGGATTTTATTTCTACAATAAAGAAAAACACTAAAAAGTTAAAGTAATAATGACCAAATAAAAACTTTTGATATGATCATTGGAATATACTTAAATATTCATCCTGTTATATTTAGATTCACCAAGAAGTACATGTTACGATATTCTCAGATTGGAATTGAAACATGGCGTTCTGCAATAAATTTAAGATATGCAAGTTTATGTAGAGAAAAGAAATGTTATATAACCTATAATGTTCTTTCACCTAACAAGTATTTAATTATATGAATTTGTTTTCTTTTATAAAAGATGTTTTTATCCAGTTGTGCTTCTTTGTAATCAGTTTGGGGGAAATGGGACTATTGAATGTTTGAAAAATAAGTTTAAAGTGTTTATTACCCAAAGTTTTGTACATTTGTAAACTCTAATTACATATGTGGATGTTAATACTCTCAGTGAATTGCTTATTGTTTGCAAAAATGCACTGGGCAGTAACATTTTATGATAAATACTTTAAGGTATAAGTCATTAATTTATATCCTAATATAAATGAGTATAATCTAAATGTCCATATTTTAAAAAACAATGTTATGGTTAATGTGTTTTTGCATTTTATATCAGGGTAACCTTTATTTTAGTTGCTTTCTTTATTAAAACAAACCTTTTTTAGCTATTTTGAATGCTCATGCAAGGTTTCCACATTGTTTCTAGAAACCAAGGAACTGAACTGAGTACTTCTGTTTCCCCAAACAAAAAATCCTGTAGTTATTTCACTTTTGTGGCTGCTAAGAAAATAATAGTGATAGTGACAAATACATTAATATTTCATAAATGTATTGTATTATGAATATGAATTCAATTATTTTCCTGACAAGGAAGGTCAGCTGTGGAGTATATTTATATATTTAGAGGAAGGGAGGGAAGAGGAAAAGGTATAAGAAATAAAACGAAAGTTTCAAAAGCAGAAACCTATCAGTACACATCCCTTCTTGTGGAGGCTTAGACCTGTGATTTCAAAGGAAGCACCTGTCCGTGCACTTGTGATCATTCCTTGGAACACTGTTATCCTCTCTCTGGTTCCCTGTGCCCACAGTGGAGCCAGACTCACTTCACTCTCCGGAGGCCTTCCTTTCTTTTACGAGTCACTAGAACAGTCCCTTTGACTTTTCTGTCCCACTAGAGGGCCTCTCTGATGCAGTTTTGTAGTCAATAGAACCTCCTCTCCTGGATACTAATAAAGAGAACCATTTCTTTTCTAATGACAGAACATTCGCCAAACACTCCTTCCAGTCCAGGGTCTTATGAATCTAGAGGAAAATATGGCTCTTCCTTGTATCCTTCATCCAACATATTGCCTAGACTTTACTTTTAGTCTCTCCCTTGAGATGTCTAGATGCTCTTTATTTTAACCCCAATTAATGACCACCATATGAAAAGTAATATTTGCTAATAATTATTGAATGGTTATTATGAATGGGGGACCTCGTTTTTGCATGTTTGAATGCACTGAATCCTCACAGCAACCTTGTGAAGTTAAGTTCTATTCTTTTTACAGAGGAGGAAACAGAATTGGAGAGGTTAACCTCAAGATTATATATAGCAAGTAAGTGGCAGAGCAGGGTTTTAATGCAGGCAGTCTGGCTCAGGATCCACACTCTTATCATCCCTGTTTCTGGGTAGAAAAAGGCTTCATTTTATGTGGGAAAGCATTCATTTTAATCAAAAGACAAATAAAGTTTATGCTTTTTAGAAATAAAGTTTATACCAGTAACACTCCTATCAGAAAATTTTGGTTCCTGAGTTTTAGGGAGAGATTTTGCTTAAATATCTTGTGGAATTTTGTATACATTTTGCTTTAGAAAAGTAAATGTAAGAAAGCATGACATTTCAAATTTTATAAATATTAGATCAATTGCGTTGTATTTTGGATGACTGAACCATAAATAAATTTATTCATAAAAAATAAGCTTTATTGCCAACAAATTATATACTCTATATGAAATAAGCAAATTCCTAAAAATAAACAAATTACCAAAACTGAGTGAAGAAAAAAAAAAAAAAAAATCTAAGCAGACCTATAACAATTAAAAGAGATTGGATCAATAATAAAAATTCTCCCAACAAAGAAAGTCCAGAACCAGATGGGTTCATCAGTGAAATCTATCAAAATATTTACACCAATTCTCCTTAAATTCTTAAAAAAAAAAAAAAAAGAGGAAGTAAGACTTTCTAATTTATTCTATAAGACCAGTGTCACCTTCCAAACCAGATGAAGACAGATTATACCCCATGACAAACTAAAATTTATTTCAGGAATACAGGGATGGTTCAACATACAAAAATCAATCAGTGTAATATACCACATTAATAGAATAAAGGGAGCAACAAGGACAATAATCTATATACTATATATAAAAAGCCAGTGACTGGAAGGCCAGAACAACTGGTCACTATGACACTCACTATGGCCAACAAACTGGCCCAATCAGGGGGTGGGGCTGGCCTGCCAATCTCCTGCGGCCCCTCCCCCAGACCAGCCCACCCTTCATCAGTGTAGGTGGGAGAGTCCTATCAGGCCAGCGAAACGCTTTCTCTCCCCGCCACCTCTACCCCATCCCTTACCCCCCTGCAGCCCGACCCCTGATCTGCTCACCCTACCACAGTAGGCCCACAGCCCCTCCCCTGCCCTGCCCCTAATTGCCACCCCTACCCGAAGAGGAGGCAGGACAAGCCAGCCAACCTCCTGAAGCCCTCCCCTACCCCTGCCCAGGCCCACCCCAGATCAGGGTCAGGGACAGCCAGCCAACCACCCACGGCCCCTCCCCAAGGCTGCTGGCCCCTGATTGGCACCACCCTCCCCCAAATGGGGGAGGACAGCCTGCTCACCACCCACAGCAACTTCCCTCAATCCCCAACCCTACTTGGGGGGGGGGGGGAGGGAGGAGCACACTGGTCAATCACCCATGGCCCCTCCTCGCAGCCGGCCCAGCCCTGATTGGACCCTGATCAGGGCTGGCTAGTCAGCCAACCTCTCACCATTTCCTCCTCCCAACAGGCAAGGTCCCAATCCACCCAAATTGGGGCTGGGCCTGCCAGATCCCACCCGTGCACAAATTTGTGCACTGGGCCTCTAGTAACTTTTGCATGTAACCGGTTTGGCTCAGTGGATAGAGCGTCAGCCTGCAGATTGAAGGGTACCAGGTTCGATCCCAGTCAAGGGCATGTACATTGGTAGTGGGCACATCCCCAGTAGGGGTGTGCAAGAGGCAGCTGATCAATGTTTCTCTCACATTGATGTTTCTAACTCTCTATCCCTTTCCTTTCCTCTTTGTAAAAAAATCAATAAAATACATATATTTTTAGAAAGCACTTTTAATGTTTCTCTTGAAATTATCTTTGATTACAAAATCCGCATTATTAACTGGTACACCTGGTATAAGAATGCACCAACTCCCCCATCAGACACCCTTATTTGTAAGGCCTCAGAAAGGACTGGTATGTCTATTTTTTATCTAGTGGCCTGAACCACTCTGACACCTTGTATTGATTGATAAGGATATTAGTGCCATGACTAGCCTTGACTGACCCCCTATGTTACCCAGTACTGAGTAGTTATTTCCTTTGAGCTAATGAGGCACATCAAGAAAGTAAAGTCAGGGAAGCTGAGGAACCATGTTCAGGGTCCTCAGTCTATACCCAGGCTGCAGGTGGGTCCATTTTGATGACATTTCTTTGTGGGTAACAATTATATTCAATTGGAGTATTTTAAAATAGCTTTATATTAGAGAGTGACTATGATTTACGTGATACTTGTGCCTTAAAAGTACTATAAGTCGGGAAGGCACACAATGGCTCAATGACTATTGGGTTATGCTGTAAGTGATGGCATGACAACACTGTTTTAAAACTATACTCATAAAATAGGCTTTTGTTAGTTTTTAAGATAGTAAAAACATTATTCTTGTAATTAAGGAGAATCAAACATTTTTGTATACTCAACATTTTCTTTTTAAGTTAAATTTACTGGGGTGACATTGGTTAATACAATTACATAGGTTTCAAGTGTACAATCCCATGATGCATCGTCTGCATATTTATTGCATTGTGTGTCCCCCTGAAGTCAAATCTTCTGTCACCATCTATTCGACCCACTTTACCTTTCACTACCCCCCACCCTCTTCCCTCTGGTAACCACCTTGCTGTTTGTTTGTTTGTCTCACTTGTTCATGTGTTGCTTTCAGTTTTCTTTGAAGTTATGCATCATCACAAATCTCCATGATAAACTGAGCAGTTCAGAAGAGACATAAGTGAATTCTGTGGGAGGAAAGTGGTCCTTGCTGAGTGGTAACTGGAGCAAGGAGGTCAGAGAAGCCGTAACTTAAAGAGCTGTCTGTTTAGTGACAAGAATGGTTGTGCTGTGTGAGAGCTTCAGAGAAATAAAATGCTACACAGTAAGTCTGGCAAAGGCTGACCTACTTATCTGT